GTCCCCGCAGGGGGCTGAGCCCCTGCTGCAGCCCCAGCAGCAGGCGGAGGAGGATGAGGATGGAGGAGGCAGCACAAGGGGATTTGGGAGGGCTGGAGCCCATCTCCTGCATCTCTCCTCTCCCTGCTTGGCTCTGCTCACTGTGATGGGCCAGACCCACCTTTTGGGGTGGCTGTTGTGTTCTCTGACCCACCCCCCCCAGCCACGCAGGGTGATAGGCTGGTGCATACAGAGGAAGGGAAGCTTATGTTACCTCGTGCCTCAGTTTCCCCATCCGCACAGCAAGGGATAAAGCAAACCCTGGTATGCCAAGAGCAACGCTGGGGAGGGAGAGGTGATCTGGGCTGATGTGGGGTGCCCAAGCCCATGGGGTGGGGGGCCACAGACCACCCCGTGGCCCCATGAGCGCGGGGCCATGCCAGGAGGGCAGAACAGCAGGCGCTGGAAATACCAGCCTGATCCACGGGCACACCGGCACGGTGGATGGGCAGCGCCGTCCCCCCCCTCGCCCACCGGCACAGACGGTGATGCGATGGGACGGAAAACTGGCCCTGACAGATCGGGAGCGACAGAGGAGGGTGACCACGGTCAAGTCAGGGCCCAGCATGACGGGCGCTGTGCCACGGCAAGGGGGCACGGCTGGCTGTGGCGGGAGGGAGACCCTGCTCCCCCCCACAACCCATGGGGCTGGGTACCCACCTGCGGGCTGGGTGGGCAGCTGGGGGTGCTGGTGCCCGTCCTGGGATGCTCTCTCCTTTGCCAGTTCCTATTTGTTCTACCTCCACCCCCTGCACCCCCTGCCCCTTGCTGCCATGGGGGCCGTATCCTGGTCCCAGGAGGGTTGTGGCTGCTCTGGGGGGGGGAAATTGGCCGCGGGCACTGGAACCGTGCTGCCCGCCTGTCCCTGTCCTGCTGCAGATTGCCGCACAGATCTGCCGGCAGGCCGGTCTGGTGAAGAAGTCCAAGGACGTGGTGGACTATCACGAGGACAACTTCGCCATCGTCTTCGCTGCCATGGGGGTGAGTCAGTCCCGGGACAGGACAGCCCAGCCGACCTCGGCAAAGCCTGTTGGTGGGGAGCCCAAATCGCACAGGATGCGCGGGCAGCCTTGCTGCCACCTCCCTGCACCGCCTCGTCCCTCTCCTGCCTCAGTTTCCCTGTACGTGAAGCCGCCCTGCTCCTGCTGACCGGCCTCTCCTCCCACGTGGGCAGGTGAACATGGAGACAGCTCGCTTCTTCAAGTCGGACTTTGAGGAGAACGGCTCCATGGAGAACGTGTGCCTCTTCCTCAACCTGGCCAATGACCCGACGTGAGTCAGCCCCATGGCTCCGGCATGCAGCTCTCTTCCTCCACCTCCTCTTCCTTCTTCTTCTTCTTCTCCTCCTTCTTTCTCTTCTCCCCCTGATGAGGACCTGATGTGCCTTGGGTGGATCAAGGTGCAGGGGCAGGTGCTGGGTGCAGCTGGGAGTCATTGGGGTCATTAGGGTCCTGCCGTCCGTGGGAACCACAAAGGCTGTGGGTCCCTCTGCCATCCCAAGCCCTGGCCAGTGGGCAGAGAACGGGCAGGGGAGCCGGCACCGATCCCGGCCAGCTTTTGGGTCCCCATCCCTTCCTGCAGCGGCTGGGAGCCGATGCTCTGGGTGGGCAGCGGGTGCCTCCCTCCTCCTCCCCAGCCGTTGCCCAGTCCCAGCTCGGGGACCCTGAGAGCTGGGGTCCCTGGGGGGGTACCTGGTCACCCCTGCCGACAGCCTGGCACGCTGTAGGGAAGCCGTATGCCGAGTTCCAGGGGTGTTCTGCGGTGGCGGGGGGGGGGGTTGGAATTAGGATCTGGGGGTGCCCACCCTGTCCCCCTCATAGGATCGAGCGGATCGTAACCCCCCGCCTGGCCCTGACCACCGCCGAGTTCCTCGCCTACCAGTGCGAGAAGCACGTGCTGGTGATCCTGACGGACATGAGCTCCTACGCTGAGGCCCTGCGGGAGGTCAGTGCCTGTCCCCCGGGATCTGCCTTGGTCCCCCGTGTCCTCCCCATGTGGCAGGGGATAAGGACTGCCCTCTTGGGGTGCCTGGGGTGCCCAGGATGCCTGGGGTTCCCGGGGTGCTTGGGGTGCCCAAGTTACTTGGGATGCCTGGGATGCTCTAAGAGTGCTTGGGATGCTTGAGCCCCCTCCCGCACTAATGCCAGCCCCCCCATCCCGCAGGTATCGGCAGCCAGGGAGGAGGTGCCCGGCCGCCGCGGCTTCCCCGGCTACATGTACACCGACCTGGCCACCATCTACGAGCGGGCCGGGCGCGTGGAGGGCAGGAACGGCTCCATCACCCAGATCCCCATCCTGACCATGCCCAATGATGGTCAGCAGCCCTGGGGGACACGGGGGGTCCCTGTGGGGCATGTGGTGCTACCGCTGTGCCCACACTGGGAAACCGTAGGGCTGGGAAATGCTGAATTGTTTTGTTTTAACAAGTTTTGGGGGAGTTCCTGGGATCCGTTGGGGTAGCAAACCTTGCAGGGATGCTTTAGGGGATTTTTTTTCCCACCAAGTTGTCCCTCTGGCCGCCCCCCCAGCTGGAGCAGAGTGCTGGGTTTCAGCCAAATGATGTGGTTGCGGGGGGGACTTAGACTTGGGGGGCATGGGGGGGATGTGCAGGCACGGGTGTGGGGGTGCCCACGGGTGTGTGCATACACAGGCAAGTCTAAAACAGGCAGTTCTCTGTCTGGTGATGGGGGGAACCGGCTCTTGCTCACGACCGCAGGCCAGTGCAGCTCCCCTGGGGCCGTGCTGCTCCGGTCACCCCCCGGCATGGGGCGCGGTCATGTCCCGTGCCCGGCCGAGCAGCCAGACCCGCTGTGGGAGTTCACACCACCCTGCTTTTCCCCCAGACATCACCCACCCCATCCCCGACCTGACGGGTTTCATCACCGAGGGGCAGATCTATGTTGACCGGCAGCTCCACAACAGGCAGGTTGGTTCCCGTGCCCCTTCCCTGCTCCATGCCACGGCGGAGTGGGGATGGATCCGGCACCGCTGTGCCCGGCGGCATCACTTGGGGCTGGAAACCACCCGAGAGCACCAGGATGGGGGGTGCCGAGGGTGGGGGGGGTGCTTAAATTGAGGGCAGCGGTCCCCTTGCCTGCACGGGGGTGTCCGGCAGGGCTGGCAAGCGGGCGAATGTGGGGGTGGTCCCTCTCGCCCTGCAGATCTACCCCCCCATCAATGTGCTGCCCTCCCTCTCCCGCCTGATGAAGTCGGCCATCGGGGAGGGCATGACCAGGAAGGACCACGGGGATGTCTCCAACCAGCTGGTAAGGGCTGGGCAGGAGAGGGATGATGATGGAGGGGGGTGGGAGCGGTATCATTTATCCCTTCAAAGCCCTCCTCCCCCTGCTTGGGGCTGAGATCGTGGCACTTTTGGCCATGATGGACTCGAGCACTTATTTTTTGGCACCTCCTTGACGTGAGGGGGAGTTGGGGTAAGGGAGTGGGATGCTTTACCCTGGGAAGTGGAGAGTCCAGGGGATGCAAAGCCTCAAAGCGGGGGCAGAGCCGTAGCTTGTCCTGCTGCAAGAATCCCAGGCTGACAGCAAGCCAGATTTTTTCCATGCAGCATGTATTATTGTATATAATATAATTATATATAACTGTGGATGCTGCGGACACCAGAGGGCTTTGCCTGCAAACTGGCCAAGCCCAAGCATGCAGACCCTGCTCGGGCTGTCCCTGCTGTGCAGCGTGACACAACCGGGCAGCAAACAGCAGAGCAAAGGCTGGCATTTCCCTGAGCCGTTCCCAAAGCTGGGCAGGGGGGAACCTGCGCTGCTCCCCCTCCTCTGCCTGCCTGGCAGGTTGCATGGAGCGTCTGTCTGTCCTGACGGCCACCTGTCTGTGCTGCAGTATGCCTGCTACGCCATTGGGAAGGATGTGCAGGCGATGAAGGCGGTGGTGGGGGAAGAGGCACTCTCGCCCGATGACCTGCTCTACCTGGAGTTCCTGCAGAAGTTTGAGAAGCAGTTCATCACCCAGGGTGAGGCGGGTGACTGGACCCCAGAGGGGGTTTGGGGATGGGACCGGACCCCCAGCATTTCCCTGCTCCTGCACCTCCCTTGCCTGTATCTTTTCCTAGGTCCCTATGAGAACCGGAGCATCTTTGAGTCCCTGGACATCGGCTGGCAGCTACTGCGCATCTTCCCCAAGCAGCTGCTCAAGCGCATCCCTGAGAGCATCCTGGCCGAGTACTACCCACGCGAGGCCAAGGTGCCAGGCCAGGGGCCGGCCAGCACGGCCCTCTAACCCCCCCAGCTCTGGGCTGAGACGGTCAGCTTTGGGGAGCAGCCTTGCCTCCCCCAAACCTCTATGGACCACCCAAAGGTGCCTCCAGTGAGGCTGGCTGGGGTTAGGTGCTGGGAGGGCGCAGAGGGCTGCAGGTCCTCGGCACCGACATCCCAAAGCAGCGAGAAACCTCTTCTCCTTGCTCAATAAAACCAGCGTGGTCACCAAAACCCCTTCTTGCTCTTGCGCTTCCCACCGTGGCTGTTTCCCTCCCACCCCTGATCTGTTCCCATCCTCCTGCCTGCACCCTGCGGCAGCAGCGCTCCCAGCCCAGGCAGGCTGCCCAATGCAGGCAGAGCTCCTTGCCTGCCAGAGCAGCGGTGCGGGAAGCTGCCCAAAACTCCAACAGAGCTGGCATCTCCTCAAACCATGGCATTTTTTTTTTATTTTAAGATGACCTGGGTGGTGTAAAGGCCGTGAGAGGGGGAGTGTTTGCTACGGAGATGCACAAGGGAAGGACCTGAGCATCTCCCTGAGTCAAAGCGACTCGCAGCTGGGGCAGGGCGGGTTTCGGTTCCCCCTCGAGCCCCTGGTTGCTGCCGTGGCAGGACCAGCCCTGTTGGGATCGGGGTGCTCGGCCCCTGTCATAGCCGGTGGTGGTGGAGACGGCGCGGTTTCACTTCCCTGCCGCAGGTGGGGAGGGCGAGACGAGCGCCGGGGCGGGAGGCAGGCATCCTGCCGAGCTCGGGGTGCTGGGTACCACCAGCCCCACCACCATGGCCTGGGCTGGGGAAGGCGCCGGACAGCTCGCAGGTAAGGTCTCCCCGTGCACGTTCGAGGAACGCGATGGACTCGGTGGGCTCACGCGTGGCCGGGCATCCCTGCACGCCTCGTGGCAGGGTCGATTGCTGTGTCCCCTGCGACCGTCACCGTGGCCTCTGGGCGCCACTGGCTGGACAAGATGGTTTGCAGGGGGTGAAACCAGCCCAAAACCGGGCCTGGAGAGGGATTTTCTCTGCTGAGCCGTGTGTCGCAGAGGGGCCAATGACCGGTGGGATGTATTTAGATGGACTGCCAGCTCCCAGGCATGACGTACATCTGCCCACCTGTCCGTCTGTCCATCCCTCTGCCGCTCTGGGCTGCGGGAGGTGCCCGTCCCAGCTGCCAGCTGCAGTTTAGGGCTTTTTCTAGCATTTGCACAATTGTACATCGTCACCTTGCAAGAGCTGAGGCCATGAGGGAGCAGCACCATTTGCACAGCCCGAGCCCCACAGCTGGCACGGGGGTCTTGGTACGGGGGTCCCGGCGAAGGGTCCTGGGGCGTTTGCTCAGCAGCACGCCTGTCGTGTGGGTCCCATGGGGACCCCTCCAGCCCTTGCAGGCGGTGTTGAAGTCCCAGCAGCGGAGGCTAGATTACAAATGGAGGGGGATTTAGATTCCAGAGCTGCATTCCCCACCGGATTAGGTCTGTGATGGGAAGGGTCGGAGGCAGGTGCAGGATCCCAGCCGTGACGCACCACAGCCCTGCTGGGAGCTGCCCCCCTGGGCAAGCAGCCACCCCCACAAGCCCCCCACCCTGGAAGGACAGGAGGACCCCTGGGGACAAGGGACCCCCCATCCAGCTGGGGTGTAGCCCCCAAAGAGCTCCCCAGTCCTGAGCGCTGGGGACCACCAGTCCCCCCAGTGACTGTCCCCCAGGGACGTGCTCCCCAGTACATGCCCATGTGCACTCAGTGGGCTCTCACATCCCCCAGACCAGTCACCCCAGTGAAAGGGGCTGCATTGACGGGGGAAGTTCGGTGGTGCTGGGGACTGTCCAGTCCCTGGTGTCACCCCAGTGTCCCCCACCTCTGCGGGCACCAGCTGAGCCCAGCAAGGGCACAGCTCTGCGGTGGCACCTCTCAGGCGAGCTGCGGCCAAGGGCTTGCTGGGGCAGCAAGATGCTCTGGGATGGTTTTTCCCTCACCCAGAATCACTCACTGGGATTTTTCCCAGCTGTCCTCCCGCCTTCTCTGAGCAGCCCCTTTACCCCAATGCCCTCTACACCCTCGCTGAGGCTGTTATAGAGCTGGTTGCTATCAGGTCAGATTTTTGCAGGCTGTTCCTCCTGCTCCGGGCTGTCCTGCTGTACGGACTTTCCCGTTTTCCTTAGGATATGTGATTCCAGCAGCTGCAGAGGCATTGCCTGGCCCCCCAGCCTGTGGGGTGGGGGGTGCTCAGCCCCTCTCCTCCCAGAGCAACATGAGGCTGAGAAAAGCAAAGGGCTTGAAACACCTCCTGGGTTTCCACCTGTGCTGGTGACCTTCTGTCATGCTTTTTGTTCCCCTGCAGCCATCCTGGAGTCGGAAAGCAGCGAGGAGGAGGAGGAGGAGGAAGAGGCAGCTGTGGTGCAGGTATTACTCACAGGCTCTTTTTCTGTTTTATTTCTTCCTCCTGCCCACGTAACCTGAGGTGGTGAAGTGCTGGTTCCCCTGTGCCCTCCCCTCCAGCCGCGGCTGTGTGCCATGGCGCTGATCACCGGGGGGGTCACAGTCACAACGTCCCCAGCACGGCTGGCAGCATGTGGGTGGCTCGGGGCTCACCGAGACCCAGCAGTGCCGTGCCAACGCAATGCCGTGCCAACACAACGCCACATGCACATCTCTCCCCCAGCAGCATCAGCCCCTTGGCCAGGAGGTGGGCGAAGCGGAGGAGCGCCTGGCTGAGCTCGAGCAAGGTGAGCCCCGTCCCACCCTGGTGTCACATCCTGGCTTGGTGCTGTACAGGGCCTCGGGGGTGGCTTCAGCCCCTCACTGGAGCTGGCGGTGATGGTGTCAGTGGGATGGTCAAGTGGGAAAATCCCCATCATGGTGCAGAGCTAGGTGCCATTCCCAGTTCTGGGTGACCTGGCACGGCTTTGCCAGCCACTCGGCAGGGGTGGCTGCGGGCAGGGAGGAGGGCAGGGTGCCAGCTGGGACCCCCACCCGGCACCCAGGGCTGGGCGGGCACCTGAATCTGGCCCCCACCGCTGCCAGCATCGCAGGCACTGCTGGCCGAGCTCGCGGCGCTGGAGACCGAGTTTGAGATCGAGAGGACGTGCCGGCAGCGAGCCGAATCCTACGCAGCCCAGGTAGGGGTGGGCCGGGTGCCCCCCCCCCCGTTTCCCCCCCCCCCCAGCACCCTGGTGCCTGCAGCCCCTCGCTGTGGGTGCAAGGGTGCCGGTGCATCCCCCCCCCAGCACACCCAGCTCGATGGGTGCAGTAGAAACCCCGGGTTGGGGGGGGGGGGTATCTCCATCCCACCTCAGGTGAAGCAGGAGAACAAGCAACTGAAGCAGCTCAGCCTGACCCCAACGGCCTCCCCAGCCCTGTCCAAGGAGGTGCCCCCCAAGGAGGACCCTGACCCTGCCCAGCACTACGGGCAGCAGCTTGAGGGTGAGTCGGACTGGGGGGTCCCGGTCCATCCCCAGCCAGAAAGAGTGAAGCCAGAGCCAAAGCCCCTGTCCCTGTCCGGCTGCCCTGTCCCGGTGTCCCCCAAGCCCGGCTCAGCCCAGCCCTGCAGTTTTAGGTTGTGCCTGGGCCTTGTTCTGGGTAAACAACGAGAAAGCGATACGGAAATCAAACAGAAAAAAGATGAAATGAAAGCGCTGCTGCTCACGCTTCCTCCTTTCCCATCCTGTTTTCCCGTGGCAGCAATTTCGGCCGCATTTGCAGCCTGGTGCTCCATCTGCCTGACAGTACCAGGGCCGGGGTCCGGGGGATGCACCCCTTGGGGGGATGCACCCCTTGGGGGGATGCACCCCTTGGGAGAGATGCACTGCTCGGGGGGGATGCGCCCCTCAGGGGATGCCCCACTCCAGCCAAACCCCCCACGTTCAGGTGATGCTGTGACTTTGCCCGTGGGCTGACCCTTGGGGGATGCTCGGGGGCAGCTTTGGGCAGGGAGAAGGGTGCTGAGTCCGGCCCCTGGTGTCCCGTGGGATGCTATTCCACCCCACTGCCACCCTGATGTCCCTCTGGGTCACATCCCAGGACAAGCTTCCAACAAGGTCATCGGTGACATGGCCAGGATGAGGGTGAGCTGGCGGGGGGGGGGGGGGGGGCGGTATCCCCACCAGCCTGGTCCTCAGGGACCCTTTCCCACCCCTCACTCCCACCTTTGCTCCCAGATCCGCAGGAGAAGATCTCCTGGTTGCTGGCGCAGCAGAGGGACCTCACCATCCAGGTCCAGGAGCTGCAGAGGCAGAACCAGGACCTGCAGAACCAGGTACCTCCCGGGACCCCCACTGGGACCCCCCTAGGCAGAGTCCTTCTTCATCACCCACCTTCTTCCCCTCCTTCCCTGGCCCCTGCTCATCCTTGTAGCTCCTTGCCGAGCTCAGGACAGATTTTGGGGAGGAAAGACTGCTGCACCCTGCTCATCCTCTGCAGCCCCTCGCCGTCTCCCTGATGTCCCGGGGGGGGTAGGCTGGGCACAGCGGGACCCCCCAGCTGAGCCTGGGGCTGAGCAGGGCTTGTCCGGCTGCAGCTGGAGATGGGGCAGGGGGAGCGGCAGCGCCTGCGGGCAGCCCTGGGCACCAGCCAGCGGGCACTGAAATCCTTCAAGAAAGGTGAGTTGGGTGCTGGGTCCCCATGGCCACGTCCCCTCCTCATCTCGCTGCGCCCCGGCGAGCTGGTGAAGGAGCAGCTGGCAGCTTCCCAGTGCCACCAGCGCCACCCAGCCTGGTGAATCAGTGAAGCCAAAGGCAATGGTGGAGCACTGGGAGCTGCAGCCAGATTGCCGGGACATGGGCATCCCCGTCCATGGGAGGTGGCTGTGCCGAGGCCCCTGCGGTGGCACACACTCCCCGTGCCAGCGCCAGCCCCCCCCGAGCCCCCGCTCTCCCTGGCAGTGTCCCAGATCGTCACCCAGGATTACTGCGAGGCGGTGCAGCAGCTGGAGCTGGAGCAGGACCTGCGCCTGCAAGCCGAAGTCTTCGCCCATGAGGTGCGGCCAGGCCCCAGGTCACCCTGCCCATGGGTGCTGGGGGGGGGACAGGCACCCACGGGAGGTGGGAGAGCAGGGGGGGGCTGCTTGCTGTCGGTGTCCCTCGATGCAGACACCCCAATACTCAGCCCACTTCTGCCTTAGCCCTGGATCCCGAGAGGATGGGGATGCTCCTGGGCACCCATCGCGGTCCCCCGGGATGAGGTTGGATAGGTTTTGCTCTCAGCCTCCCTGGAAAGGGTTTTTCTCTCACCGGGGCAAGCCTGGGGGCTCAGTCCCTCCCTGACCCCTGTCCCCACGGGCAGATGCTGGTGCAAAAGAAGGAGGCAAACAGGCAGAGCATGATCCTGCTGCAGAGCTCGGAGCCCAGCGCCCAGCTGCTGGCAGCCCTGCAGGAGGTGGGACGCCTGACCCGGGCGCTGGACGAGGCCAGGCAGGAGCAGCAGCAGCGGGTGAGGAGCCGTCCCTAAGGGTGGGTGACACGCTGGGGGGAGCAGGGCTGGGGCACAGCATGGCTCCGGGGCTGGTGGTGGCTTCCCCTGGGCGCAGGAACCAGCTGCGATCAAGATCAGACCCCTCCATCGCCTTCTCCATGCCCATCCCACACTGTGTGCCAAGCCCGGAGAGGTTGTTTTTCCATGAATTTCCAATATGACATTTCGGGCGCCAGGGACAGGGTCCCACAACTGGGCTACGAGGCGGTGGGAGCCCCCCCACGCTGGGCTAGCACCCCTCCAGCCCACTGGGCTGCCGTCACCCAGCTGAGAATTGCCCTAACAATAGCTTGAAGTTCCTTGCAAGTGGCCAAGTTGCAGGGCTGTGGAGCATCCCCGTCCCTGGCAGGGATGGCACCGGGGGTCCCCAGCTCCTGGGCTGCACCCGGCTCCCCCCCATCCTCCCATTCCCGCAGGTGAAGGAGCTGGAGGAGCAGTTGGGGAGGCAGCCGGAGCCGGAGGAGCTGGATCTGGCCCGAGCTGCTCTGGCCGCGGCAGAAGATGAGAAGCTGCAGCTGAGAAGGCGGCTGCAGGAGGCTGAGAAGCGGCTGGCAGGGCTGGAGGAGGAAGGTGGGTGGTTTCACCCCTGCCCGACACGGGCAGGAGCCGGCAGCGGTGCCGGAGGGATGCTCAGGGCTCAGGCTCCGAGGGGCACCAGCCCCCCCCTGCACAGCCCCAGCTGCATCCCTTTGCAGTGGAGTCACTGCAGGAGAAGCTGGGCCAGGACCCACCGCCACAGAGCCGGACCCCCGAGCCGGCTGCACCCGTGCCGCCGCCGCCACCGCCGCTGCCACCGCCTGCGCCCACTGTCCCCGTGGAGTAAGTGACCCCCCCCCCCAAACCCCCCTCCCTCTCCCCCCGCCCGCCCCCCCCGCCCCCGGGGAGTAAGGGCCCCCCCCCCCCCCCAAACCCCATCGCTCTCGCCCGCCGTGCCAGGCTGTCCCCAAGCCGTGCCCGGGCATTGTCCTGGCTCCGAGCCGGGGTGGGGGTCCAGGCAGCTTCTCGCTGGAGGGACAGTGGGCACGCTGGGCATCATGTCTGGCTCTTTGGGGGCGAGGGGTGCAGTTGGGCAGGGCTTTCACCTCCCTTCTCTCTTCCAGCCCGCTCTTGGCAATCAGGCAGAGGAAGGGGCTGGCAAACCTGCAGCGCAGTAAGTGCACCCTGGGGGGCTTCTGGTGCCATGGGGTGGGGGGTCCCTGGCAGTGCCACAAGGACGGGAGAGTCCCTGGGCACGGGGAGGATGGGGTTTCTCCGAGACAGAGGTTTGCCAATGCTGCACTGGTTCAGGCCTCTCCCATTCATCCGAAAGTGTCGGTCCCAGGTCCCGTGGTGGGGTGACGGGCACCTGCCAGCCCCCCGCTCCCCAAAGGAGGGTGCTCAGGCCCCCCAGCACCCCTGTCCTGCCCGGCACGGGTGGGAGATGAGTTTCTGCCAGGGTGGTACCCAGCCTTGGATCATGGCCGGGTTTCGCCTCTTGGGAGGGATCCCGGGCATGGGGGGGGGTCCCAGGGAGGTGGCAGCTTCCCATCCCAGCAGGGAGTGAGCCCTGTCACGAGTGCGTGGGGTCTCAGCGCGGTGCTCCCTGTGCAGGCAAGCCAGAAGCTGATGATGCTAAAGCTCGAGCCGTGCAGGAGATGATGGAGCGGATAAAGCACGGGGTGGTCCTGAGGCCCGCCAAGGAGCGGGACCCCCTGGGGCAGGTAGGCAGGGACCCAGGCTCAGCTGCTGCCGGACACCCCCCATCCTATGGGGGAATGTCCCTGGGGAGCCCTGGGACTCAGGGTGGGTTTGGGGAGAGCCGGCAGCCCCGGGGGAGCCGCGGGGCTGGCAAGATGCGGCCACATCTCCTCTCTCCCCTCCCGCAGGGTCCGGCGGAGGCGGCCGGCAAGCGGAGGAGCATGGTGCTGGAGCTGCAGGGCATCCTGGTGAGCAGCCCTGTCCCAAGGAGGGGGGGTGACGCCAGGCCATCGCGCGGGGACACGGATGCCATCGTCCCCAGCCGCAGCCGTCCTGCGTGGGGCTGCGTCGGGGCTGTCCTGGCCGGCCCCCGGGGGTCCCAGCGCCTGGATGTGGCCCCCTCAGCATCTCGGCGGTGTGTGGGGTTTCCTAGGGTGCCATGAGGAGGGCGAGCAGGAGGCCCAGCAGGCGGCAAAGCAGCCTGAAGGGCAAGGACAGGCAGCTGGAGTCCATCCTGCAGCGGCGACGCCGGGCGGTGGATGCCTCCACACCCTCGCTGCCTGCCCCGTCGCCCACCCCCAGCCTCCCGCAGCGGGACCGTGAGGATGCTGAGGCTGCGGGGAGGCTGGATCCTGGTATGGAACAGGGCTTGGTGGGGAGGGGATGCAGCAGCTTGGGCTGGATGACCCCCCCCGAGCGAGAAGGTCCCCAGGGACCGGCACAGAGGTGACACCCACACGTGTCCCTTCACTGTCCCACCACAAGCCCGACTGATGCTCTGCGGTCCCCGTTCCTGGTGACAAGCTGCCGGTCGGTGGCACGGGTCCCCGCGGGCTCTGCACTTGCTCTCACCCTGCTCCACGTCTCCTCTCCTCTCTGTCTGTCTGTCTCTCCACAGGGGACAAGGACATCGGCACAGCTCCATCCGGGCACTCGCCGGGGAGCGGGGATGGGGTCCCATTCAGAGCCCGGTTGGTGGGTGGTCTCCCCAGGACCCGGCCCCTCGCCCACCTGGCCAGAGGCAGGGGGGAGCCAGGGTAGAGGCAGCTGCCCCCCCCCGCCTTCGCCCAGGACCGCTGGAGCCACATGGTCATGGTGGGGCGAGGAGGTGGCATGGTGGTGGTGACGGCTGCTGCAAGCTTTCACCCTCATTTTTCAGCAGCTTGCATCCTCTTGTGCTTTAATTAAAGCTGTTGTCACCAGAGAGGCATGTTTGCCGGGTGAAGGGGTGGCAGCAGGATGGGGCTGGGGATGGGAATGGGACTGGAGCTGCTGCAAACTGGTCCTGGCAGGAGAACTTGTGGGACTGGAGTGGGGCACCCACACTCCTGCCACCCTAGGGTGCTCGGCAGCTGGGCAGGGACGCAGGTAACATGGCATTTACCTGCTGTGAGAAGATACTTGTGTCCCCCCACCCCAACTTTGCAGTCTGAGGGCTCCACATTGAAGCAGGTAAATGGTAGCCAGACCCCAAAACAAAGGGAATTTGACTCGTGTCGGGGCAGAATAAGCTGCAGTGTCCTGTGTCCAATGCTGCAGTCCTGGAGATGCCCAACCATGGCACAGGCAGCGAGACCCCTCTTGGTGCCAGTGGAGCCCCTGGGAGAGCTCTGAGCCCCGACCGGTGGCATGGGGATGCTGGGACTGTAGGGCTGCAAGTGGGGACACCCCCCCTGGTGACCGTCCTCTGCAGCTTTTGTCTCTTGTGTGGGACCCCGGGGAGTGAGAGCCCTAAACCTCCTGCTTCGGATGAAGAGAAGCCCCCAGACCCCTGAAGGTCTCAGGTTGCCCTTTGGAGGCCGGCTGCACTGTTGCAGGCCCCCTCCCCTCCAGCTCCCCCCAATCCCACAGGCAACCCCTGCCGGGGGAACCCCATCTCTGCTGGAGAGGTTCAGCCCTGGGGAGGGCTCACGGGGCCACACTCTGCACCCGCAGCTGTTGGATGGGGCTCCCCCCAAACCTCCAGCACATCGGTTTGGGATCAGGCTGGCCATTCCTGGGTCCTCAGGGGGAGCACGGTCCGGTCAAATCCATCTCTCCTGGTACCCCAATGTCAGGGAGCGCCTGTGATCCAGCGCTCCCGGGCTTCACCCAACAGCTCAGGGGTGAACGGCAGCATGCAGCTCCGAGGCTGGGGTCCTCAAAGAGCCGGCAGACCCTTTGTCACTCAAAGGGATGATGCTCTCAAGCCTGTGCTTGTTTTGAAGCAGTGGGGTCCGCTGGAGATGGGGTTCCCCTCGAGCTGCTGGCTCTAAGGCTATTGAGCTGGTCCTGGAGATTTGCTGCTCTGGAGGAGCTGTCACGGAGGGGCTGTGGGGCTCATCCCGGTCCAGGGAAAGGCATCTCTGTATTTGGTTAATTGGAGGTGAAGAGCATGGATCTGCTCCATGGGGTCACACTCCCAAGTGCCCATGGTCCCAGGGCACCCATGGGTGCACCCTGCCCAGCCGGTGGCCCCCGTCCTGTCCCCTCTCCCTGCCGCAGCCTGTTGCAGGGGCGTTTTGGGTGTTTTAAGGCAGTCCTTCGCGCAGAGCAAAGAGCTTCATATGGCCGAGCTTTGAACTCGCCCACCGCAACTTCGGCAATACCCAGCGGGACCCCTGGCAATGCTGGAACATGCTGGGAGATCGGGGGTCAGCACTGCCAGGCTGTGGGGGTTTAGGGGCTGGTTTCAGTGGCAGCAGTGCTGCTCCTGAGCGCCGCTGTACCCATCCCTCCATCCCCAAGAGCTTTCAAGCCACAGCTCTGCCTTTTAAACCCAAAGAACAACAAAAGCTTTAATTTAATTGTGGTTTCTCCAGCTCCACCACCTTGTTGCAGGCAGGAGATGCCGGGCAGGGGGAAGGCAAGTGAGAGCATCCTCTACCCTTGCACCAGATGCTTAATTAGCCAGGGAAATGCCCTTTCTCCTCTCTGGGATGGTTTTATTGCAGATAAATTGTAGAGTTCAGGTCCTGAACTTGTGGCAGGGAGGACAGGCTGGCTCTGTGCTAAAATCTTGGAGAAAATGGAGCTGCCGGCGGCAGCTTGGCTGTCAGCATCCCCCCAGAGCGCAGTTTTTGGGGGGGAGAAGCCACGTGCCAGGGGAGGCTGGTGAGTCCTCAAACATCCCTTCCCTGGGCAGAGGGGCCAGCCCTTCCTTCGGACGATGCCGCAGGGATGTGGGGGTGTCAGGGCAGGTTTGCGCTGCCAGTCACTTTTGTGGGCTCAGGCCCCTACAGAAGCAGGTACATACGTCTGGAATCCCCTATAGAGGGCTAAGCCAGGGCTGCTTGACCCTGGGGGACAGGCAGGATGCTGGCAGGACCCTTTCCTTCTTTTCTAAATAGTTTATTCAGTTGTGGCTCAGAGCAGTCAGGGGTAGCCAGGACTGTGGCTGCTCCCAAGCATCCCCCTTCCATGCTGCATCTCCTTCCAGGAGTTAATTATTCTCCGCGTTAAAAATGTAGTCTGGATTTATCTACCTTCCCCTTCCAGCCAACGATCTCATGGATGCCTTTTTGCAATAATTAAAGAGCTGTCTGGGATCGGACTGAACGGCCCAAAGGAATAAGGACGTGCCAGGAAACCTGCTCTGCTTGCCACCGTGGCATCGGAGAAAGGGTGAGCTCTTTCCTACACATCTGAGGAAGGGACAGCTCCCTTCCCGGGGGACCAGAGGTGGCTGCGGTCCCCCCTGTTCCCCAAGGACAGACAGGACTGGTCACTGTATTGCAGAACTCCATCTCTGTGCTTTTTTTTATGCATTTTCTCTCTCCTTCTCGAAGGCGTAGACAACTTGAACTAAAATATTTAAGGCAAGGAGCTTATCTTTCTAATTACCAAGCATTTCTCGTCCTGGCCTTTCGATTCTCCAGACACCTGAAGGCTGCCATGTGGAAAGCAGACAAGGAAAGGCTGCTCGCGAGACCTAAGAGCTCAACAGACTAAAGGATGAATGTCAGCTTGTTGAACAGATCCTCTTACTGGAAAAGAAGGCAAGAGCCGCAGGGACCACAGCGCTGGGACCAACTTGACCAGTTTGGAAAGCCTAGGGACGCTGGAGCCAGGCTGCCCCCCACTCCTCCTGCCCTGGCCAAAGCTGAATTTCTCCAAATCCAGCTTTCCGGATGATTCCCAGCACAAGGGACCCAGCACCACCTGACTCTCACGTTTCGATCCCCACGGAATTCAGCCTCCCTCGCTTGGCGCCGTCGGGGGAAAATGCCACGGCCTGAGCGCGGTTACTCATCGGCAGCCTGCCCTTTCCCACCGCCGCGCTGCCTGCGCTCTGCCCGCTCTGTATCGAGTGAATTCCTCTCCCCTGATTACACCCTCCAAACACCCATGAAAATCAATGCCGGCTGCGCTCCCGCGGGACAGGAAAGCCATGGCCTGCTGGCTGCACCGTCCCCAAGCCGCCGGAGCCACCGCAGCCAGGAGAGCTGCCGAGCAGGCAGAGATGCTTCGGAGGGCAGCTGCGTATTAATATACATGACTCTTAAATACTTAATCAAAGTGGTAATTCACACTTCTTTTTAAGCTGGAGCATCTTGCAAACCCTCTGTGGGTGGACTCCAGAGCATCCTTGCCTCGGCCCTGTGAATAACTATGGATTTTATATCTTATTCATCAGATTTCCCAGGGTCCCCACGTTTCAGGGCAAGGAACGGGGCGTTTTGACCCAAGCGAGAGGGTCCATTTTCAGGAGCCAGCCCCAAAGTTCTCTACTTATGGCAGGAGACAAGAGCCTGGCCGGGGAGCCGAGTGTGGTCCTCACAGCCTTACCTTCTCCCCACATAGCCGTAGCCTTTGGGCGGGCTTTTTCTGATGCTCATCTTTTAAATATTTATAGGGTTTTGCTCGCTATCATTCAGTTACGCGACTTATCTGAATCTGGTTCAGCTCAGAGAAATGTGTGTCATTAACATCTTAAACACCCGACGATCACAAGCAGTACTCAGGAAAAATGGGCTTGTCATCTGGAAAAATACGAAGTAATCTTCCCTCGATTTCTGGCTAAGTGAATGGGAAAATGAGGATTAAAAAGACTCAGTAGAAGGGACATTAAAGCTACTGATCTTCCCCGTTTACATTCTATCCACTGGTTCAGCGGCAGGAGTCCTGGGGCTCTGCTTTTACTGCTGTACCCCGCTGAAAGAGCCCTCCATCATGCCCTGCTCTCCCCATCATGGCAGCGACAGCTCTCAAGTTTTCAATCCCTCCAGCATCACATTCAGAGAGATAAAACTAAATTTAAAACATGACCTGAGGCTGGCAAGAGGCACAGCACTTGCCCTGCCATCCTCAGCTGTGCCCCATTAAGTCACACAGCCTCAGCCCAGGGCAGGGCAGGGGGAATGACGACTTCGCCTCAGCTGCCGCCCCCGGCCAGCAGATCTCGCCTGCCCTGGCCCATCTGGCTGCACCCAAGGCGATGGAAACTGTTAACCACAGTTTGGAGTGGAGCTGTGAACACACATCCAGGAGCTTCCCAGCAGCCTGCTGCACCCCCCTCCAGGTGCCACCACCAGCACTGCCGGCATCCACCTCCCTCCTCCATGGCTGGAAATCTTATTTTTCAGCCTAAATTTGGTCAAGCTTAAACCAGTCCATCAGGGAGGCGAGTAAAAGCGTCCGGCTTGTCCTGCTGCAGAGGCAGGGGACAGAGCATGGGCCCAGCGTCCCCCACCCTGTGGCCTTGAAGCAAAATTACAGCACATCACCCGAGCTGGGGAGCAGCTTTTCCAGGAGCTTCCCAACACTATGGGCAAGGCCGATGGTCTTCTCCCACGCATGTCCTTGCATCTTCTTGCATGCTCTGCCTGCTGTTAATCACTCCACTTTGCTTTCAGTGCTTTTACCTTCATTCCTCCAACTCTCTGACAATAAAGAGCTCTGTACTGAGAATATACACCTCCTGCTAACCCCTCTCAGTGACTAGCATCTCCCAAGGCCTCTGCGATGTGCTTTCTGCAGCCCTCCGGTCCCCTCGATAGCTCTCTCCTCCTCCACTATTTCTCTAAAAACATAAAAAATAATCCGCATGCACAGAAGGCGATTTCCTCAGGCGACACCAACTCAAACACGGGAGCGGAACGCTTGTGAGCCAGAGGGACTCATGAGCCTCTCCGGTAAGGCAAACTTCACCCATAGCCTTTATTAGACGAGCAGCTCTCAAACAGAAACCACACTTCTATCAATCAGCATCAAAACACACCAGTGTTAGTGGGCCCTGAACAAACTCAAGGGCAGGGAGGGGTGAGGCGGTACGACTGCATGCCTCATGTTTGCCTTCAGCAGAACTGACCACAAAATGAGCCATTTCCTCAGAAACTCCTCAAAAAGCCTTCCTGAACCATGAAACCGCGCTGCCAGAGCCAGGCATTCCTGTGTCACAGCCACGCACAGCCCCGGCTCCTGGCTAGCGTGAGGACATCTAGTTCTGGCACAGGCTGAAGGCGACCAATGAAGCAAAAAAGGGGGGGCGGGAAAAAGGGTTTTTTAATAATTACAAGAAACAAGAACAAAGGGTTCACCTCCTTCTTAGCACGATCATCTACCGCTGTACTGCTGCAGCATCCCAGCCGCTCAGGGAGGCTTCCAGCAAAACCAGAGAAAAGTGGGTATTTCCAACATTAAAATCAAACAAAAAGCAATTCTGAGTCCTTCCAGGTCACCTCCCTGCAGCCGCGGAGCGCAGGGCAAGGCGCCCGCCCTCATGCTCCCCTCCTGACGCGTGCTGCACAGCGGGACACCAGCATCCTCCAGCACTGGCAGGCTCCCAGCAGGAATACGTGGGATTTTGACAGTTTGATTACTGTATTCTTTTTTTTTTTTTTTTTTTTAATTAACGGCTCTGTGTAAACCTCAGTTAAATGTCAAGCACGTTCTGCTGTCACACTGAGGGAACCGTTCCCCCACAGCCAAACTACACCACGCGCAAACTCCTGGTTTTAAAGCCCAGCAGATGACAACGCCTCCCAGGTCCCCAGGCAGGGTGGGCAGCGTCGGGGGGCTGGACCCTCCTCGCGCTCAGCTGGAGCCAAACATCCTTCTTGCACACAGTCCCGGGGGATCAGCAGAGCTGTAATAAAAAGGCACGAGCCCTCCCCGTGCGTCTGTCCAGCGCTGCTGGCACCTCCGGTCATTGCCGGGTTTATAGGTTCCTAGCAAAATCCCTTTGAGAGACCTCGAGGAGGGTTTGAGCGAGGCCTGGGGACAGTGCTGCCTCACAGCCCTCTGCACAGTTTGGGTCTGCTCTGCTCCTTCACTGCAGCCAACGCTGGCTGCATCCGGGGCTCAGTAAATCTTCTGTCGGCTGGGTAGGATGGCCTCCTTGATGAAAGAGAAGATGAGGAGGATACCGGAGCGTTTGCCCCTCTTCCCCTTGGTGAAGTAGTTGGAGACCACGTCGTCTGCGGAGAGCAGGGAAGAACAATCAAACACAAACCTGCTGACAGCCATTGGAGCCCTGGGATGGGTCATCTGATTTCAGGGCAACGCATGAGCTGCCTTCAAAGCATGAAAGTTTCTGGTTTGCTCTCATCTAGCCTATCTGGGCATTCCCATAAGCCACTGACAGGGACCCCAAATCCTGAGCTCCCTTTCTTGAGCTGTAGGGAGGGTCCAGGGAAAGCAACAGGGCCCCAGGACTGGAGAGATGCTGGATGTAAACAGCCCTCCCTCCATTCTGCTCGCTCACCCCTCACCCTGCAGAAGCCCCCCTTTTCCTGCCCCGGTTTTTGGAAGGGTTTACCCGACCAGCTGCCCCCCTTCGCCGCTCTGTGCAGAGGGAATGGGGGGTGTTGAGCACAGCCCCTGTCAAAAACCAGCGGGCGTCTGCCTGGGCCTCAAGAATGCTCACCTCCAGGCTGCACTGTGGAAGGCAGGACGTTCTCTCCAGCTGACAAGGAGACGAAGAAAGCAAAAGGAATTAACCACAGGCAGAATGTGAAGTAGGCGAGAACCTGCGGGCAGAGCAAGAGAGGAGGTGAGAGCCGAGTCGCAACACACTCGGCGGCCATTCACACACTGACTTCTGTTCAGGCTGACACCCACAAGTGCTGAGTTGGCCGCAGCTACACCTCCCTACGACACACCCCAAGTTTCTACCTGAACCCTTCAAAAGAAAGGGCACTGAAGGGGAAGAACCGCAAATCAACCTCTCCCAAGTCTCTCGGGTGCTGAGATAGCATCGCCTTGCGAAGCTGATAAGGGGCTAAAATTCACCCAGCAACTTCCACAGAAGGACAGGGTGTGCAGAAAAAGCCCTTGCTCCTCTCCTAGGCCCCTGAAAACCTTTACTTCTCCCCAAAACCGGAATTTTAAAAAGCATAATTAAAATGAGCAGGAAATTGGCTGTGCTGTTATGACTAATTAAATCCTCTTCACACCCTCCAGGGACTAAAAGGAAGAGTCAAGACCTGGGCTCGCTCCTCCTGCCCTGGGGTGGGACGCTGGTTTAGCACGAGGAGTTGGCGCTTGGGGGAGCAGCCGCTGCGGTTTGGGGAGAGGTGCCACACCAGCCTCCTTGTGTGCACTGATGCTGGAGAAGCATTGAAACTTCATACAAAGGTTGTTGGTTTTTTATTTTGGTGGAGGTTTTTTTGTTTGTTCTTAAAATTTGCGCTAAGTGGCAGCTACTGTTGGGCCTGAACAAGCCCCTTTGTGAATCTGGGCCTTCGTCTTGGGCAGGTGTGAGGATGGTGATACAGAAGAATTAGCATGTCAGAGACATAAAAATAATGAGAAGCAAATATTCCAAAAGGGAAGTGATTTGTCGTTAGCTTATAAAAAAATTAAAATTCATGTTTTTGTCTACTTTTCCTAGTTTTCAGCATTTTAGGAAAAAAAAAAAAATCCGTGCTAAGATTCAGTATTTTTTCTGCTCTTCAGCTGGCTGAGAAAGCCCCAAGCCCACAGCCGAGAAAAGAAACTGCAGCTTCCCTGGTACTTCTGAGGAAACAAGCACAGGAACCCCCAGGGAAGGTCCGTGAAAAATATTCTCAGTGTGTCTTACTGCTGACTGAAAAAACGGCATTTTCCTCTCCCCCGCCTCCCGCTAGCGGCTCCATGCTGCCTGAAAGAACACGGACTGACTCCTTCCCAAAGGTCTCTCACCTCAGAGAACAGGTAATACTCTTCAGCGAAGTACTGGAACGCTAAGTAGTGATTGAATATAACCAGCACTGCCAAAGAAAAACACAGCAAAGTCAGTCTCCAGCCTGGAAGAAATACCATTGGCATATTCCAAGGCCCCCGAAAGAGGACATCCGCCTCTGCTGCCACAGCCCCTGCGAGGAGCAGTTCCTCCCTGCCGCGCAGCCCCTTCCCCGCAGCCCCTGTACACCTGGAATCTTGTTGTTGCTAAAATATTTTCTCGCATCTAGTGAGAAATAGTGTGAGCAGCCAGAGTCCCCCGGGTCCCAGCTGCAGTTTGTTACTCTGTGCAGCCCCGGTTGAGTCCCTCGTCCCTCCAGTGCTTTATGCTCCGTGTCCCCGAGGGCACCCTGGAAAGCCCAGCCTGACACTTGCTAATGCTGCGCAGCGCTGAGATGAGAAGCGAAAAACCCCGCATCCCCGACAGCTGCTGCGAAGAGAAGCTCTTCTGCCATCTGTAAACCAAGTCAAGCTGAAATGCAGCCAGGACAGTAGGGCTAACACTGTCCCCAGCAGTGAAAAACACCACTTAGCTCTTAAGAGGCAGGAATTGGAGCTTCTTTAGCCTTTTATTTCAGATGCCAAGACAGCAGCCCCAGCCCAGGAGCACCAGGTCAGTAGAGCCCCAGTGGGAGACAGCCCCGACACAAAATGCTGTGTCCCATGCTGCTTTATCGTCCTCTCCAGCCTAAAGACGTCACCAAAGATCCAGATGAGAGTCTGGATCTGCCAGAAAACGCAGCTCCTGATCTATGCGCCATGGGAAAGCTACACTCATTTTCAAGTAGCGGATAAAATCCTGCCTTCGTGAATGCTTTGAGGAGCAAAGGTATTTTAGTCATACACAGACAGCATCCTGAAATATGCATAAGGACTCCAGAAAGTCATGCTGAAAGAAATTTTGCCCATTCGCTACTTAAGGTGTCACTACAAATCACTCAGAGCAGAGATTAAAAGTCAGATCTGTGCACAGGACACTACAACACACAGGACACTTGGCAACTCGTGGCAGGAGGAAACCATTTGACCTACTCAGAGCAGCCAAAAACCAGTGTAATTGGCAGAGCTACCGGCCCACCACCCCAGACCCGGTGGCAGAGCTACTCCCCAGTTCAACCTACGATGTTAATCTGGCCGTTCATCAGCCAACCGCGGTAGACAAATGCCTAAGCTGCCCACTTCAGCCAAAATACCGGTGCTGCTAATTTAAGCCCCTGGCCAATCCCACAACACAATCCCACACCCGTGCCAGCCGCCTAGAAGGGAGAAGAGACCATCTTGCCCGTCTCGCACCAGGACTTGCCTGGGCTGAGGACCAGGCAGCCAGCAGTCCATGGCAGCTACAGACACAGGCTCGACAAATACTACAGGAATGGTGCAAACTTGAAAAATAAAAATCCCTGATTCAGGCTCGGCAATGCAATTTTATAACACGACTTTCTCCAGTAACCCTGATGAATTTCCACATTAATTGTGGACATTTGTCCCAAAGCTTTTCTTTCTCTAAACATCAGCTCCTTACAATGGCACACACGCACCGCCTCACACAGCCCAGCCTGACATCAGGCTGTAATTATACACGCTGGGTTTTTTAGTTTCCTTCAAATCCCTCCTGCTCTTTACCAAGACCCAGCGAATGCCTGGAACAGGAGGTCTGCAGGGAGGATGCCAAGCTTTGGGACAGCCCGGATCTCGTTTCCCCAGCACTGCCACCTGAGTTTGGAGTGGAACTGGCTAGAGGGTGAAGCAGAGGGTGTCCGGAAAAGCCCGGTGTCCCCAGCTCTGCACCGGGGCACACAATCAAAGGCAATTCCCACACCACCAGGCCCAGCCCACAATTATTGCAGCCACATCATAAAGTGCAATTAAAAAGTCCTGCACAAAGCTCAAAGTCCTTTTAAAAGCCACAGGGGCTGCAACAGCAAAACCCAAACCTTTGCTGCCACCCAGAGCCCACCCGGTGATCAGGGTGACAAGGCTTCCTCCCCCCCCAGCACCCGCTCCCATGGGAAGGTGACGGCTGCACTCACCGCAGGACAGTATGAAATTGGAGGATGTCAGGATGATGAAGGGGAAGGTCTGCAGCAAACCGAAGTAGACCAGATTGGTGAAGAGCCCCACGCCCACCATGAAACCAGGAAAGTGTTCGAAGAGGTAGAGGCCGACCAGCACGGCCGAGGAGAACTGGAAGAGAGAACAGGGGTTGCCTGGGGCAAACATGGGTGCGCAGAGAGCAGAACTGCAGGCAGCTGCGCAGGCAGGAATCCTGCCACCATCAAGGTGATTTTTAGTGTGCTCTGATGGCACCGCATCTCCCCATGCACCTCCCACTCGGCACCATCCACTTGGGAAAGCTCCAAATAGGAATCCCACCTTGCTGCTGCGGCTCCTGGTAGGACAGGCCGCAGCTGGGCCTCAGTTTCCCCAGCTGAGGGGGGAGATGTGTCACCCAGGAGAGGTCAGGCAGGGTCACCACCTTCCCAGTTAAGTGAGGCACCAATTGAAGCAGCCCCTGCCAACCTCCCTCCTCAGGAGCCAGAGTCATCGTGGGGCCACGAGAAGCAGGAGCTTCCCAAGCGCTTGTCCTGTCTGTCCAAAGCGAACATCCCACACCACAGCTGCTCTGCCAGCCCTGCTGCTGCTGCCCCACGGGTGATTTCAGCAGGGAGCCGTTCGTTTCTGCAACCACGGGGACTTACCCAGATCATGTATTTGATTATCCTCCTGGTGACAACCGTGTACTCCTCGATCAGCTCCGCCAGGTAGTACAGCCCAGCAGCTGCAGGAGAAACACCCTGCTCAACCCCACGGGCCAGGAGGGACCGGGACAAATACTGCTGCCTTCAGCCACGGGGGTCCACGCTCACCCAACCCAGGGGAGACTGAAGGGCAGGGGTAACACCTCCCCCCTCCGCAACTCTCGGGGGCACCTGGGGACCCCCAAACTCTGGGGCACCCGCAGGACCTCAGGAGCACTCAGGGGACTCGTGGGCACCCGTGGGACACCCCCGCCCCAACCTCTGGGGCAACCACAGCACCTCAGGGGCATCCAGGGGGGGCTCAGGCCCCCGGGATGTGCTGGACCCGCGGCCCCGAGCCGGCTCCCAGCAGGATGCCAAGCTGCCCCCTCCCGGGAGCCACTCCCTTGCCGACAAAAAGCACGACATATCGCGACAACCCCCGGGAGGAGCCTAAGGCCGGGCCCAGACCCCGCGCGGCGGCACCCCCGCAGGCTCCAGACCCCCGCCCCCCCCCCGGCGGTGGCGCTCACCGATCGCCAGGGTGACGAAAGCCACCTGGATGAGCAAGGACAGCCAACTCAAGGCGTAGATGAACCACATGGCGGGGACGAACCGGGCCGGGCCCCGCCGCTCCCGGTTCCTGCTCCCGCTGTGGCGGCGGCGCTCGGCGCTGACCACGCGGCGCCGGAACAAGCGAGACCCGCCCCGCCCGGCCAGGCCGCCGCCCCTCGGCGCTACAGCGACCCCTGCAGGCGCGGAGGGCTCCCGAACAGCGGGGTTCGGGGGGGACGGGGGACACGGACCCCGAAACGTACAGGGACCCCCAAAACTGTACAGGCACCCCGAAACGCGGGGGGACCTCGAAACTCCCAGGGACACCCCAAAACTGTATGGGGCCCCCAAACTGTACAAGACTCCGAACCATACAGGCTCCCCCCCAAATTGATACAGGGACCCCCAAACCGTACAGGGACCCCCGAAGCATACAGGGATCCCCCCATACCGTGCAGGGACCCCCAACCGTACAGGGATCCCCGCCATACCGTACAGGGACACCCCAGCTGTACAGGGATCCCCACCATACCGTACAGGGACACCCCAACTGCACAGGGACACCCCAAAACCGTACAGGGTCCCCAAACCGCACAGTGACCCCCCTCTCCCAAACTGTACAGAGATGACCCAAAACCTCACAGAGACCCCCAACTGCAAAGGGACCCCCAAACCGCACACTGACCCACCCAAACCATATGGGGACCCCGAACTGTAGGGCGACACCCCGAAACCGTTCAGGGACCCCCAAACCACGCAAAGACCCCTCCTCCAAACCATACAGGGACCCCAAACTGCGTGGGGACCCCCAAAACTGTACAAGGACCCCCCCAAACCTGTGTAGAGACCCCCTGAAACCATATAGTGATCCCCCTCCATGTGTATAGGGGCAACTCCTGCATCTGTATAGGGTTCCCCTGCACCTACATAGGGACCTCCCCTCTGGCCATACAGCCTCCCCCCCCGGGACCCCCTCCGCACCCGTGCAGGGCCCCCCGATACTGTATAGGGACCCCTGCACCCATTCAGTGGTTCCTCTGCACCAATATAAGGACCCCAGCACCCATATAGAGACTTCCGTCACTTGTATAGGAACACTTGCACCCATATAGGGACCCCCCAGCTTGTATAGGGACCCCATGGGGACACCAGGGACCCCAGCACCCGTGTAGGCACCCCTGTGTCCATACAGAGACTCCTTGTGCCCGTATAGGGACTCTCTCCATCCATATAGGGATGCCTGCACCTACTTAGGGACCCTGGACTGACACCCCAGCACCCATATAGGATCCCTTCCACCTATATGGGGACCCTCCACATCTGTATAGGGACCCCCGCACCCATATAGGGACCTGGCAGGGACCCCTACACCAGCACCTTCACACCCAGCTGAACCCTGACCCACTGTGTGTCTGGGACCGACCCTTCCCCACCCCACAGCTTGGGGATCCCCTGGCGGGGGGGGACCCTCAGCCTCTTCCCTCCCCTGCAGCTGTGGTGGGGCTGCACTGGGGTGCAATGGGCTGGTACTGGTCTGGCACTGACCTGCACTGGGCTCTACTGGGCTGGTACTGGGCTGCACTGGGCTGTGCATCCTGGCCAAGGCTCTGGCTGGAGGCATCCCCTCCTTCCCCTGTACCTGGAGGGTGCCTGGGACCCCCCCCCCCAAGCCCTGCCAGTGCACCCAGCAGCCCCCCACCCCGGCCAGATCCCTGGGGGAACATCCCCCACGGGGAGGATTTTGGGGTGCTGGTGTGGAATCCCTCACTGCTGGGTGCTGGGGTGCTCGCTGCAGGTGCCGGGGGGGCTCGGTGTCTCCGGGAGCTCGAGGGGAGACGGGACAAGCTCACGGGCAGGACCTGTCACGCGTGCACCCATTTCCATGCGTGCACCCGTGCACGTACACCCACGCGTTCACCCCCCAGCCCCTGCACAGCCCTGGGGGCAGAGGGGGGTACAGCTGGTGTCCCCTGCTCAGACCTGCTGTTCCCCCCCACCGGGGGTGGGGAGGGGGCTCAGAAGAGCTGTTTGCACCCACACCTTGCCACCCTGTGCCTGGCGTGGCCCGGTTCACGCTCACCTCCCTGTGTCTGCAGCTCTGGGGCACGCTTAGTACACTCCTGGCAGCCCCCTGC